TACGGAGAAAAAATTGAACGCGATACGAATTGTTTACTTTTGTACTTCCTTCGATCGATCATCGATAAGTGTAATTGTCCACAGTAAACATATATATATATATATGGTATATATTTCGCAGATAATCTATCATTTTCGCGATCAAATAGACGGGCTCCTTTTACACCGAGTTTAGATAACAAATGGAATTCCTGTAGTTTCGAAATCGCCTTATCAATCGCGCCGCGATCGGTAAAACAAACAGACGAGTTAAACAAGTAATAAATCGTTCCAATACGAATGATCGATCGCGATAGGTACGGCTTCGTCGTTTTTAGAAGGATTCCAGTACGGTGCTAGTAATAACAATTGTTCATCAAACATCTGTGACTAATCTTCGGTATAATAAAGGTCGACGAAGATCCGTTAATACTAGACGATAAAACCTCGTTCTCCTTTAACGTTTTGTTGCTTTTTCTTAAATTATATATCCCACGAACATGGAATTCACAATTGTGTTAAAGGTCGTCGTGTATTCTTTGCTGGAGAATAATTAGGGCAGGGAAAAGAGGCATGATAATAGACCCCATTGTACAGAGACTTGGAAACAACGGTGTAATGAAATCAGAAGAGCCTCGGAGCTGTTCCTCGGTATGATAACATAACACGATACACCGTGTACCTCCTTTTTATTCTCCAGCTATAGCCTTACGCGGTGTCATCCGACTTGGCCGAGAGCAGAGGAACGACAAGGAACAACCGGTGTTAGGCGATACTCGGTATAGCCGTTGGCTACCCTGTCGAGGTCGCGGTCTTGCCTCTCTGTACAGCCGCAGGTGTTTCGAGTGAAACGAGTTCTGTTCGAGTCCAGAAGCCAGCAAGAATGATGGAAATAGCAGAAAATGGGGGGAGCGAGGTTAATCTAGGTCGATCGATTGTCAGGGTATCACCAAATGGCTCCGTTTGCTCTTGGCTGTTTGAAAACTACAGTATCAACAGAATTGTGTTCATTTGCTCCAGGTTATTGAGTACTTATCCCTGCCATAGACATTTAAACCGATGCAGCGCAGTTTTTAGTTACTCTAGCTTAGAATTATTGATTGACTTCACATTCAGTGAGTGTATCTTTTACTGATTTTTTGCTAGATGTACTTAACTGCCGTTTATATCCATCATGGTTTGACTAAACTCGACTGTTTAGCTGCACCCAACGCTCTTTCTATGTAATCCCACTTTTTCGCTAATCCTTTTTCAGATACCTTCCATTTATGAATGGAATTTACTTATGAGTTAGAATAATACCAGACGATGCGGACGCTGGCCTACAGTGGCCATTTAACTTCCACCGACTATAGAATCTCTTATTAAAACAGACCAGATCTGAAACAGGATCAGCCACGTACACGTCAATCATGTGCCACATCTGACGTCGCGTATCCAAGGCAGCGCCGTCTAACTTAACCAGCTACTTTTTCCAAGAAACGCGTGTAATTCTGATCGTCGAGCGTGGGTGGAAAGTAAATTGGTTCAACCTGACGCGTAAACAGCATCAGTTAAAAGGGGTTGTTCGTTTACACGATATCTTTTTATCGTCGACGAAACAACAATTCCGTCGAACATTTCGGGAACACCTTTTGTATTAAGAACTTCGAGAAATCCTTTTTTTTTCATCAACCTCTTGCGAAGAACGCTTCGTTCGCCCTCAGCGCGAGTTACGCTCGATCAGGAATCCACGGGGCCCAATTAACGCGTCGAACCAGACGCGACGGAAAGCGAGAATACCTGTATAACGAGAATTAGCGATAGCACGCCGGGTGGTCGCGTAATTTCTCGCGGGAAAGACTGTAAATTCGAAGCAGCGGGGCCTTTTTTCCAACACAATCCCGTAAAGATTTACGGCCGATCGCCACGTCGGCCGTTAAAGGCCACTTGAATTTCCTGCGGGATCTTTAATTACGTCCGGCACGCTCAAAGACACTTCGCAGGTAAAGACGCGTATACCTTACGCACGGTTGAGTTGAATGGAAAGCCGAGGAGTAATCTGCGCGTAGGCAATTGCCAACGATTAGATTGCCTGGTTGAATAGGATCTACGATCCGATTCAGCGAATTTTTCACCAGGTGCAACGTGGATGTTATCGAGGAAAAGTAAATCACGCGATTTCTCGTGTATCGCTGATTTCGCGAGGTAACGCTGAACAGAGCTCGGCAATGTTACCGGCGCGATAAACGACCGTCTTATCGCCGCAGTTCGCGGGGGCAGTCGACGAAAATTCTCACGCGTTCGACACTTCCAGCTGAGCGCAGCGCCGCGGCGAACGTAATCGAGCGCCCGCAGGAACAGGCTAACACGCCCCTGGTGCCACGCGGTAACCTTTTTTCTGACATTTCTACCTTCGTGGTTCTCGGTTCGACCGAAAGGTTAAGCCTCGGCGCTGGTTCGAATACCCATGAACGAGGACGACGAAGCGAACGCGAGAAGGACCGAAGTGAACCGGGCGAACGGTTCTCCGCTGCTGCTCCTCCAGCGGATCGCTGGGTCTTTCCTTCCTGTCGAAGGTCGAATCAGCGTTTGCTCCGCGAACCGTGTCGCGAGGTCGGAAGACTCGGGTTTCGAGGGGAGGACCGCTCGACCGTCACAGAAGCGAAGCTGGTCACCCAATCAGAGCGAGAACGGAACAAAAGAAAGGTGAAAACACTTATCGGCCCGTGAGATCAAGCCTGCATCCTGTATCTCCGTCGTCCCCGCGGATCCTTCGTCCGGGATCCAATTATTATTAATTCATCGTTAATTTCATTTCGCCCAGCCTGTCTTTCTGCTCCTTCTTCGTCCTGATGGCGTACATTCAGCCTGCTTCTTTCACAGTCGAACGTTCGTTGACCCAAAAAGCCACAGACCGATGGATAAAGAGGCGTTGGGTCGCGAAACGGCTTCGGCTACTATTGGCCCCGTGATATCCTTGATGGGATGAGCTTTTATTGATTGTCCTTGCCCGAGTTTCTGGTTTTTATGATCGCGACACGGTGCGTGGGAGTGGAGATTATTTGCGTTGGTGATTGATATATTGGACATTCTGCGCCCTGATAATGTTTAATGGTGAGATAGTAAAGTAGTTTAAGTACTAGGTCGCATGGTATGTCGTAAGATATTTTGTAGAGATTGTGAGAAAAGGTCCTAGACAGGGTAGGTATCTATCAGTGAGTCACCCACTCTTGATCAATGTTTCATAGATTTTGTGAATCTGTAGCGTAACGGGACTACCCTAATGCCACTTTCAGAACACTGTCGGGATACCAGAATCGACATAAGTATGAGCGGAGGAATATAATTGAAAATTTACAAGAAAGTGGAATCAGAGAGTCTACGATCGACAGTAATCAAAAGGAAACATTTCATACTAAATTCCGAAGTCTTACTATCACCTTTATGAAAATTGGGACTCGTACGAACGAAGCTTATAAATTAACTTCTAAACAGTGATACAGATTGCCGTGACAGTATTAATTACCGTTGACACATAAAGCCTTCAGTGAATAAGAAATTGCCGGCGATCAAGTGTAAAACTTATCCCGCTGGAGCAATATTTATGAACCCATTTTTCTCACACAGCCACCGAAGGGCTTTCGAGTTATGGTGTATTCGTGCCATAAGTAGATCACGCAAGACATCCACCAGCACGGTTACGGATATAAAAGTAAAGTACTTTTCTCGATCCCGATAACTGGGACTCGCATTAGAGGCACGGTAAAACGAACTGAACTAAGCACACGAGGGGAAAACAGTTCGAACGGTTAATAAGGAAATCACCGATGTAAAACGATGTAATTTAAACCCGTGGATCATAAACGTATCTACGTACCGAGGGACCGAGCGACGATGTCATTTAAAGTCTCTCGCCGGACGCGATTCAGGGAAAGTCACACGCTCGTAAATCAGCAACGGTAATGGGCACCCCGTTAGATTTGCAATGATAATCCGATGGTAATGCATGTCGATTCGGTCGAACGATCGAACGAGAAAATAATTAACGATCGTCTTGAACGGAGTTCGCCGAACTATCGACAACTCTGTACCGATCCCCGGGGGGATTTACGAGTTTCCAACGATTCAAACCGACGACGAGAAGAAGAAGAAAAAAAAGACAACCCAATTGGCCCTCTTCGTGTTTCATGGGACCAATAATCTGTGATTCTTTGTCGAACTCTTTACCTACCCGACAGTCAACGAAACACCATCCGATCAGGGCTGTCGAATCGTGAATTCCCTGAGTGCAACTGGTAAACACGGAGTCATTTTTATGGTAGCCGTGAGAAACAATGGGCAACGTCGGTACCGGTAAATCGCTCATAAAACGAGACTATTCTCCCTTGTACCGTTCGTTTCGAATTATCAATGGTACTCCATAAACCTGAGCAGCGATTCCTCGGATGTTTTGCAAATGGAATAATGTATGTTAAGGGTTGATCCAAGGGTTAGGGGCGACAGCCACGTCGGCATCTCTGCCGATCTATCCATCTTCCCTGGCCAGTTAATAAGCGTCTTATCGACAGCATACGCGGGGATAAACCCGCGCGCTCACGGTTACCACTGATTCTCTACTGATCGATCGCAGGATAAGCGGACGGGACATCGCAGCGGCGGGTATAATGGATGATCCTACAGGCACATCGCGGAGGCAGCGGCCATTTACCATTCAATTACGCCGCAATTATAGGATCGTGTGCGTTCCGTGGCTTCAAGATATGCCCGCCGACAACCGTTTCGATCCTCCGGGATCTCTAATTGACGACCGTTAAACAAATATCCGTGGAGAGATCTTCGTGATTACGAAACGGCATCGCAAAGGTAACGTCTATCGTAAACTCTCCCGAAAAATCGTCCGGTGCCTTTCACGACGACCTGCGCGTCGTCGAAACGTTTCAAACGATCCGAGACGTGGCACGGTGGAATAAACATCGGAAAGAATAATGTAACGAGCACGGAGGAATGGTTAGAACGAGTGAAAAAATTGTCGAACTTACCCCTGGAGAGCGTGCGGAGGAGCTGGTCGAGGCGGCGGTGGTAGCGACTTTCTGCCTGGTGTGTTCTGTCGTGGGGCCAGAGGTGGAGGAGGAGAACTTGGTGATCCAGAGCCAGCGTATCGATCCGTGGGACACTGAGGTTGAGGCTTCTGCTTCGGCGCGTCGATGTATTTCGGTGGCAGGGCGTAGTAATTCCTATGCGACGCGTCCCCGTGGCGTTGGTGATGGTTGGGCACGTACTTCGGTGGCTCGTGGTACTTCTGAGGACTGGACTCCGACGGGAACATCTTCGAATTGGCTTCGTAGCCGGTCTTCACTGGGCTACCGATCGAGAAACCGTGATTTCCGCCTTCCAGGTATTTGGAAGTGCTCTTCGAATTGTCTGCTACTGGTAAATAATTCGGTCTAGTCGATTGATTCGACTGATTGCTCGAGGAACTCTTGTCGATGCTCTTGGGCACTTGGGGTTGAGGCCTCTGGCCAGAGGATGATTCAAGTCTCTGGGAGGATTCGGTTCGAAGTAACCCAGAAACGTCGAGTCTCGATCCGTCCACTCGCATGGACTCCTGTCGAATGATCCTCGGCTCGACCGGGACCTGAGGAGTTCGTCTCGCCGGGGTGACCCGTCCGTTCACCATGAGCTTCTGAGTCGAGGGGTATCTCAAGCTGGATCGACCTGTGGCTACCATTCGATGAGTAGCGAATCCAGCGGAGACACCGTTCTCCAGCACCATCTCGGAGTCAACGTGTTTCAATGCTATGGTGGCCCTTACGAACTGTTCTTGATCTTGCGGGGTTTTCGTTGGCGAGTTAGGCGATGACTTCCCGGTCGATTTATCGTGGTCCCGTTTACCCCCGTGCTTCGATCTTCTGGTCGAGTGTCTCTCCAGCTTGTGTCTGTCGCAAGATCTATCACGGGCCTTGGACTCTTCCTGATGATGGTTGGATTTCCGTTGGCTGTCCGTGAAGCTGTCCTCGCTGAGTTCAGGGGGCGGTGGCGGCAGTGGATCGTCGCAATCGTGCACCTCGTTCTCGGTGACTGTCGGGGGCGAGGGTGGAGGCAAGTCGGGGCTAGGTACGCGATCGTTGTAGACGTTTCTGAGGTGTGGTTTCTTGGGCGGTCGTTCCGGCACCCAGTCATCGATCGATATAGCCGGGCCGACTATCACAGGGCCCAGCAAATCCGTGGACAGACTACCGCAGCTGTTGCTGTGCTGATGCTTCGGACTCGGTAAATCTCCGTTGCCCTGATTCTGATTCCTGTTCGCGTTTTCTCGCCAGGCACCGCTGGCATAGTCGGAAGCAGAGCTCGCTCGTCTCGAAGAGGGTGGTCTGGGACGAGGCGGAGGCTGTGGCGGTGGACTTTGAGGGGCAGGAGTTGTCCCTTGAGCCAATTGTGGCTCGGACCGCCAGGAGGCTTGGTGGTGTCTCTCGTAGAAAGATAACAATGCTTTTTTCTGAATGGCTTTCAACGTAGGATCGGAGACCCGGTGCCGTTTTTCTGGATCCAAGTAGGTGTAACGCATTTGCTGCTGTTGCTGCTTCTCTAGTTCGTTTATGCGCTCCGCTACTGACATTTGTGGCTGTTGGGGCAGCGTCGAGGATATTCTGCAAAGAGAAAGTTCGATAATGTAGGGCGACTGTCACTGTACGCAACAGTAAACTGAATATTCGAACAGTACCTTGAAGACTGCGTGGACTCCTGAGGCTGCGTCGTGCTGACAGGATACAGTTTCCGTTGATTTCGTTCGCGATCCAAATAGAGCACGCTCTCCGAATGATGTCTCTGCGGAGTTTGCACTCTGGCGCTATGAGCTATCAACTGCTTGCTACAGGAAAGTCCATTAGCCTGGCTGACGTCTGACATCGAACCGTGAATAGGATTCCATGTCTCGGGGCTCTGCGGACTCGTCGGGCCGATCTGCTGACGTATCGGGCTCTGTGGCATCGGCTGCGCCAATGATGCGTACTTATCGTTTTCAATTCTCATTGAACTGTCCCATTGAGAGCCCGTCTGCGACTTCTCCAGAGATTCCTCGTCGATGTTAGACTCCTGCCACTTGCTCTCTCGAACCGTGGAAACGTCGGCCACGTTGGTCGAGGAGGTGCAGTGATTGATCACAGCCGGCAAGCTCGATCTACCTTGATTCTGTTTATTACGGTCGTTCATCGATACCTGCCACTTGTCCGGCCATTTCTCGCTGTGTCTGCCCTTTGTCGTCGGAGACAGGCCAGTGGTGCTGACATCGCTCATGGAGCCCTGCCACTTGTCGTGACACCCGTTGTTCGATTTCTGCGGCAAAATTCCACCGTTCACGCTGCTGACATCCGACATCGAGCCGTGGTGCCATCGATCCGATGTACCCTGTCGAGCTGGCAAGCCACTGGACACGCTGACATCCGACATCGAACCGTGCCATTTCAGGGTTTCGCTACTGGACGCGCTTCCGCTCGACGTAGTCACCACGCTGTCTCTTCCCTCCCTCGAAGTGTCCTCCCAGGATGCGGTTGGTCTCTGCGCCACTGCCTCGCTGTCTCTCCTCAGTCTGCAAATGCAGAGACGTGACACGTAACAACTTGCACAGCTTCGTCTGATTGGTTTAATTTCATTTAATTGTTCTTGAAAATATTTGCTACCTGTCGAGAAATGGGGTGTTCGTTGTGGAGTCCACGCTGGAAACGTAACTGTGATAGCCTTCGGATTGTGCGTAGCTGGCTTGCTGCGAATGCTGCACCCTCGTGTATTCCTCGAGACCTGCTTGTGTTAGGGTTGCCTCCCTATATATGTCCACCTGTAAGATCAAAATTGATGTATAATAACCTAACAAAGACACGCATATAAGGTTGGTAAAAATATAACATGCGGGTGATTTCAATGCGCGCGAGGGAACATCACTATCCTAGTGACTTCAACGCGTGGTAAGGGCACCACTTTTGATTCTAAACTGCCTAACGTGTCTTTGAAGTTTCTTTTTAACAATATAATAATGAGACTGGACTTGGTACTAGACAACAGAGTCGATATTCCTAATGAATTTACCTGGGACACTTGAGGATCTTGGTAGCTCCTAACGTAGGCTTCCAGATCAGCATGGCTAAGGGTCTGAGCGGTCTGCTGCTCGCGTTCAGGGGGCGACGGGACAACGTACTCTTCATCGCCCAGAGATTTACCCTCGCGATCCACGCGAGGCCACAGTCTCGGCTCTTCTTCCACGTTGCCGCTCCTGTTGCGGGACTCGAAAGTCTCCGCCGGTATCTTCTCGCAGCGCTCCATCACGGTCTTCAGCTGCAACGCGAAAATCGGTTGTTCTTTGTAAGAGCATTCCGCGTATAACTATTATCCCCTTATCTACAGCCTCGTGCAGGCCGACTGCGTGATTCGTTTACGTAATCGCGCGTATATTCATCGGAGGGTATCAACGTGGTGCGCGTTTCAATTTTAAATAAACCACCAGGCAACGAGCTAATTACGCTTGGCCCGACAAAAAGCTCGGCGATCTAATAAGGAAGTCCTAAATCGAGCAAAAGGAAAGTCGAATGAATTACGGGCGCATTAACATTGCTCGGGCCCGTTCTTCTAGCCACTGGAAAGAATGGAATTCGTTCGCGTACACAACGGAATTAAAAGCTGGGACACGGGTCTGCGGCGAACACTTCGCGTATGTCTGTGTGTAGGTTTGTGCATGCGTGTGTACACATATGTGCGTTTGTATGTGTCTGTTGCCACGAAATTGCCGGCCTACTTCGCCTTGAATAGTCGCAACGTACGATTATGTCACCCTCAGAGTAAGAGAGAAAGAGAGAAAGGAGGGTGTCGCGGGTGTGGGAGATTAATTATGTGTGTCGTTTTAGGGCGCAGCACGATTTACCAAGGTTCTGACCTACGCGCCGTATCCCGATGCTTAACGCGACACGTTCGACCAATTAAACTTCCTTCGGGCCCTCCCTCCCGGTTGTCACGGACGTCGACAGTCGTGAAACCCGGCGGTGATCATGGTGCCGCGCTTGGAAACACGACGATAACGCCTGATATACCCCTTGGGCGCGTTCGCTCGTGACTGGTTAACACCGGGCGTCGAAAGTGCCCTCTCTCGGCTCCTTGCAAATGAGTTTTCAATTTCGTAACCGGGAACCCGCGCGACACAAGGGGCAATATACACCGACACGTACGCTCTTTGCGGGCGAATTGCGTTACAAAACTTAATTGGTCACGGTGACGTATCGCTTTCCGTCCCCCCATGTTCTATGGGAACAAATGTTTCGGTGAACGTGTTCCATGGAACCGAAGTGAGGATGAATCAAAATTTCTGTTCGCTGCGCGTGGCGAAACACAACGACGACCAGGCACAAAAGACCGCAGGGTAGAGGGTTCCGAGATACATCACCTGCTGCGTGAACGCGGGATTGGGCCTCTTCGTGTGCGGTCTAGTGTATTGGGCTGGCTTCTCCTTTGGGTAATTGGTGTGATCGGTCCAGGACTTGGAACGATGGGATCCGCTGTTATGGCCGGTGCCGCCGTGCACGTCCTCGTCCGGGTGTCTCTCCGGCGCGCTTGGCCACGATGGATATTTCTCGTGTCCAGGCCCATAGCAGACGCCTTTGAGGCTGGACGCGTCTCGGACCGGAGGCGTTGGAGGCGGCGACGCTTCGTCTCTCTCGTTGAGAGGCAACGTGTAGCTGTCGAATCCGAGGCTCTCGCTGTACCTGAATCCCAAACAAGAGAACCATTTAGTTGAGCACCTATCGCTTTCATCGTTCATTTCTGAATACTTTGATTATTCCTATGCGTGGGAGTAATTAGACACGTGTCAGGTGAATGAATAGGCGATTATTAAATCTGACAGGAGGTTGCGCTGACCGATTGTCACGTTGTAAATAATTCTGTGAGGATTTCTGAAGGATCGAACATGTTTGTGAACTAATTTATTCAGATTTATTATAATCTTGTAGTTTAGAACTAGATGTCTTCCATCGATTTTGATTTAATGTATTATATTAGTTTAACCGATTACATACCTACCGGCTGCATAGATCCAATGATCGATACCTAAGGAACTAGATTGTTAACACTAGAATTACCGAACAAGTCAAAGTAATTGGTCGGTACAGTCTTATAGGGACGATCAAAATGTTATAATAATATATAACTGTAGGAAATTATGTACGTTCATGGAAAAATAGCAAGAACTCTAATAGAACAATTTGAAGACACTATTCCACTTGTAGACTAAATCACTCATATATCCAAAGAAGAAATGGAAATGTACCGGCGATAGAAAAATAATAAACTGATAAATTGCCTAATAAAAAGAAATACCTTCAGTTCTGGATAAGAGAAAAAGAGGGTAGCTGTGCCAGAGTCCAGCAATGTACCGTGATACCGTTCACAGCGAGCGATACATTCGACAGACGAAGGAAAACACTGGACGTGCGACCTCTCACGGCTTGACTCGATGAATCACTCATAAAACGCTCGCGGGTCCTCGATAGCGGCCGTCAGGCGACGAGTCCCTCTGTTACGCGATGTCATTGAACCACTTTATTACCGGGATGCGTGGCCGCCGCATAATTTATGGAATAGTCAACAAGTTCAACGTAACTGGAATCACGTATAATCAGGCTATAATTGCAACCGTCGTTCCTGGACCTCGTAACGACGAGCCACCGCGCCGCGGCGATGCGGTGGAACGCTACCACGTCCAACCTATCGCGAAATCTAAGTGTGTCGGGACTAATACAGAAACGTCTAATTGGCCGCCAAACGGTATCTCTTATCTCGCCCGCAAAAAGCTGCCCGATAGAGAGCGTGTGCAAACAACCGTGGAAACTTGTTTCTCATTAGCGGAACAATTAATTCCCGCGTAATGGGGGTTGATTCGTGTATTGGCCTCCCTCGATCGGTGAGATACAACAGTACGTTCGGTGGAGACGTATTTGTGTCCTTCGCAAAGATTTTTCTATCGAAAACAAACGGCGCAACATTAATCCCTTCGTCTGGAGTTTGATTAATAAATTGAGGCATTCGTATATTACAGGGGAAAGTTGCCGAATTTGGACCATCGCCTAAGTTGTACTAGTTTTGTAACTTGTCGCGTAGAAGCAATTTGCACTGCATGATTGACAATGTGTATATGATAGTGGTGATTACATTAAATAACTTATTATATACATATATAAGCAACACATACTGTCTATCATATGGCACAAATTGTTTACACAAGTTATAGTAATGCTCCGACCTAGGCGATGATCTAAACTCGAGATTTTCGTGATACAAAGAATACGATGTCTTCGTCTGCATCGAATGTTTCTAGGAGAAGCTATATTCCAACTCATCTGGTTGAAACCCTTCAGTTTGGCAGATCGACGATAGTAAAGCGGAAAGGTAGGGAAGCAGTGAAGGTTGATTGGAGGCTCCGTACCCGCTGTCGTTTTTATAGCCCGCAGTATTCTTCTTGTGACTTTCGTTGTAACCGGCAGCCGTGGTGGCTTTCTTTGTTCCGTTGCCAGCCTCGTGCTCGTTCTCCGCGGACCTCCTGCCGTCGTTTCTGCGGCGGTAGTACTCGTTAGGAAGCACCGTCCGGGACGGACTCTGCTTAAGGCCATAGCCTTCCTGAGGATACGACGGGGTACCCTTGAAATTGGTAGTCTCGCTCCCGTGTCCGTGACTCGCGTACTTGTAGGGGCCCGGAGGACAGGAAGGTGGGCCCGGGGCCTCATCCTGGACTCGATATCCTGGCGGCGACGGCTGCAGTTCCGTCATCGTGTAACCAACGTCCCCGCCATCCGGGATACACCTGGGGATTCAAGCAAAAACGCGTCTGTTAGCGACGATCTTTCTCACAGACAATGAATCGGCGATTCTAGGGGTAGAAAAAGTATCGGTAGGACTGATCCCATCGAACCCGGATCTGTGATTAGAGGATCTACAGATTGAATCGTCCAGATCCGTGGATAAGATTCTCCGCCTCGAGCGACGGTCAACACGCTGAAATTGTTGACGCTTACAGGATAATCATTAGGTAACAGGTCGCTTTAGAGATTTTCTATTTCTTTCGATCCCTTCGATTCCTCGTATCATGGACCACCGTACACGAGGACCATCTGAGTTCAATTAAGGCCTCGGCAAGTTTTTTGCACTCTCTTCGGTTCCTCGGGTAGCTACTCGAGCTTTCTTTGATCGTCGTGATATCGCTGTTACATCGAGCCTCTCTAGCTGACATCATCTCCCGATAAAAGTCTGCGTCATCCGTCGAAAAACAAGATGCGCGTGTCTCTCGATCCATTGACTGCAAGCGTGTACGTTCAATAATCATGACTACATGCTTGTGAATAACCAACAAAGTGCTACCAAAGAAATCGTGCAGGTCGTTTTCCCGGATGGAGGGGGGAGGGGGTCAACCAAACGGTACGGTTTAATTGATCCCGTCGAAAGGTTAATTAAGATACCAATCGAACGGGATTTAATCTCGTGCATCGCGGTACGGTTCTGCGTGAATGAAACGCATTAATCGAGAACGTTGTACGTGTCTTCAGGGTTAATTTGGACCGTGATACACGAATATTACCCCGTGGATCGACGATGGTTACGCGCGAATTATGGTCTGGCCGTTGCTTCGGCGCTGGTTCGCCACCGAGAAATCCCTCGAGATCTGGCCCTGATCGCCGATATGAGCGATCGTGTGCGTGCACACGCCTTTACGAACGGCATTATACTAATCAATTTGTTCGCGGGGAGAAGTACATTGTCCGGGAGTAGGCGCGAGCTCGTAGAATCGAACGCAAGGCGTGTCCGCGGTCGCGATAAAATCCAAAGAAACCTCTCACCGCTGCTGCTGCTGCTGCTGCCGGCTACTTGTTTAACCTCTCGCCCGCGTTCCGTGGCGGATCGAGGTGTAATGAGCCGCGCCAATAGCGACGCGCCACTTATCGACGCGATCGATGAAATCGGTAATCTCGTTCCCGAAATTATGTGCGACGTAATGATTCGCGAATAAAGACGAGGGTGCGCCTCGTTGACACCTTGCTAACGAGAGTCGATGTCTTGTGGGTAGGGCTCGAATAGATCAATTGTGCGTCACGGTGTAGGTGAGGTTCCCACGTGCCCGGCGGACGGCGTGGAATATGTTTGAACTAATCAGAATGAATACTTAGACAGAAATTATATAGGATAGCGATAGCCAAATTCATTAACTCGTTCTAAAATTTTCGTTTGCATTTAAGAACACAAGTGTTTTTCTTTAGAATATTAGGTTGTTAATATATTTAAATATTCTGTAAATTGTAACTCAAAATATGTATAATTTTTTGATTCATCGAATCAATCGCATACGCACGGTGTTCGCTATGACGCGCCGTCCAAGTGACACCACCCGACCACGCATTGAAATCACCCGAGCAGCGCTACAGTCACTGGTGAGTTTATGGACTTGAATTCTCGTTAAAAAATTTATTCTGTCTATGATTTACTACTTACTAAACAACATTCACAAAAACAATGTTAAGCTTGGGTTGTTGTGGGTAAGATCTAACACTGAAGATATCGATAAACACGACAAACTTTTGAATATTTACAAATTTACAAGTTAATCAAATTCTTCCCTTTCATATCATAATAAAACTTGCAAGGGATCTTGATTTGTTTGGTAGTTCTTGTGTTGACACTTTAAATTCTCAGCAGACCAATATCAGAGAACAAGGAAGAAATAAAATTAGAAATTCTAGTCAGAAATTCAAGTGTTCTCGTGCGCTGCATCTCAGAAAAGTTGACATTCGCACAGGCACTTTCTTCTCTTGTCTCTAAGAGCCCGAGTAACAAGATTACTTTCATTTGTCACTCAAGAAAAATAGCTACCCACGCGCGACACCGTCGTAAACGCTTTCGTTCCTGAGGAAACGGTAACTTGTCATATTGACCGTCATTCGGTAGCGCGAGATCTGGGTCAACCGAATGCTCCGGAAGATTCGCGGTTCGACGAACAATCGGCCGTATATCATCGGTTATCACGACGTATCCGGCGATGACAGAGATACGGATAGGACGTCCCAGATTCTTCCGCGTTTATTCAGGCTCATCGTGTCACGAGCACAATCGGCGTTGTTACGCCTTGGACGATCAAGATCGATGACGTTACGAGCCGTGGCGACAGACGGCATTGGGACGGGTTCGGTTTCTATGGCCATCGTTCGTCGATCCTGTGCTCAGCAACGAAACGGTCCAATGAAGTCGAGAAAGGACAATAAGGAATTCGTTTACAGAACCTCGTGACGATGTATATTTCGATATGCAAGTTCCAAGAAGAAAAAAAAGAGGACAAAATCATCGAATCTCCGAGGCAATCGTAATTTTTACAGGCTATCTCAAAATAAAATATAGATTTCACAAAAATTGTGATTTAGTAATTTTTACATATTAAATACCGGCTCACGCTAACTTCTCCAATTCTTATTCTTGAAGGAAAGGAAAGGACATTTTGCTTACGTTCATTTTATCTGGATTGAAAAGAAACGATTATCCAAAGAGGTTACAACCAACAGAGGCACAATTTCTTCATATTCGCAGACCAAGCCACTTTGCCTCCTCGAACTATCGGCCGAACAGGATCCCTTGGATCATGTGCTCAATTACAGGCACAAAGGAGAGACGTGTCCGTGGCTTCATTTACTCCGCATGCATTCCGCCGTTTCAGCGGTTGCAAAATGCCCGACGATTTTGTAACAAGCGAAAGTATGCGCTAGTGTGCGCGACGGAACGTAAAAACTGATAATAAGCGATCGTTCCGCGTGTTACCGGTCTCGCTTACCCTGGGTTAGGCTAATGAGTAACTGCCGGGGCCGGGGTTGATAAATACGACTGGTCCGTATTGACAAGTTGCAATAAGGTAACGATATTAAATAACACCGTGTGCTGGTGGGACGGCGATGCACGACGAACAACCGCCACATTGAGAACGGGAAAGTGACACGACCCTCAAATTTGACAAAGCACACGGGGCTACTCACTGGCGTGGCGTTCATAAACCGTTTCTCTGTCGTGGTAGTCGCTTTCACGACTAATAAATTGAATATAAAAGCATGCCTATCAGGCCCGTGTACACTAGGAACTCACGATCTTTAGCGGGCGTTAAATTGGATTCGTTATGGTGGGCGTGTCGGCGCCGTAGTTTTGCATAATAAGAACGAGCCTGAATAGACCCGCGGGACAGACTTACGAGCCTTTTAGGATTGGAAATACACGGTGTTTAATAATAACGCAGGGGGAATTCCGGCGATTCACCGTTTCCAAAACGCCGGCCGACATTTGCATCGCTCCTTCTTCTAGGTCTTTTCAAGTTGAATCCGTTGGCCAGACGGTTTAGCGTCCTGTATTTAATGGTTCGTGTACAGTGCGTTGGAATATGTATCTTTCTCGTGTAAAGTGTCCCCGTGAAACGTCGAGATGACGGGGGCAACGATGAGAAACGAGCCCAATTATCCTGGTTTCTTTGTACGCGACAGCGGAGTCGCGGCCCGACAACAAAATGCCCCGGTCCTTCGTTCGGAGCGCTTCTTATGTTAGTAATAGTTTAATAGTAGTCGCAGTAATCGCATCCTACCTGATTCTCTCAGGCGTGCACGCAACCTCTGCAGCGGAACGTGTAATTTCAACTGTCGGAACCGTCAAAACTCTCAACCAGAGAGCGATTTCAATGGGGGAATCGGGAAGATGTGTCTGTTGGGATCGATGACTCTTTGAAACTCGTGGAAGAAGAAGATGTTCTTGAAGATAATGATAAATGTTTTCCTTGACGTTAGTTTTAAGGAAATACTGGTTTTGTGGACTTGCTACTGACTGTCGTGTCACAGTAAATTGTAGAATATTTATAGTTATGTGTAGCCACTTTTAAAATAAAGTAAGGTACATTTTCAAAAACTTTTTTCACATAGATCCCCCGAATACTGACACTTTTTTCATCACAAAAGTTGATAAGAAATTTTTTTAATTTTTATAGAATTTTGTAAAATTGTTGGTATAAAGTAAGAAGCAGGATTTCTTTTGTACGGGCTAGTAGGTATTCCTTAAAAAATGGAAGTCATTTTAGGTAGAATATAATAAGGGTCGTATTTCCACCTTGCGTGTCCTAAGGCCGTGAACACTGTATATTATGTAGGTAAATCCCCCGCGGAACGTGTAATTTCCTACGTTGGAACCATCAAAAACGCTCGTGCACCTTATAATTCTTCTTTCCTGCGTGCAGTTATTCGCCGTTCTATGCCACGCTAATACGTCGCATTGAACTTCACTGAAGCATCCCTTGCAATCTCGAAATTTCCCTTCCAAGAATAATTTTAAACGCGCAAGGTCCTCGGTCGGAACCGTCGGAAGCTCGTCAAATTGGTGCCCACGAAACTGTCAAAGAAATCGAAAAGTAACTACCGTTGAATCCTTCATCTCTTTCCAAGCTCAAAGTATTCCACGCGATAATCAAATCCGCGGCAATTAACTAAGTACAAGTTTACACCTATATAAAGGTCGGCCAAGGAACGCCCCTTGCGTCAGCCAACAACGCAAAACCAGGGTGGTGGACGGGGGGCTGCTGCTAATAAACTCATCCCGGCGAACGGAGCAAAACGGCACGCAGAACAAAATGAGAGTCCGCGCGCGTGCACGCGAGCCGAGCCTAAATTATCAGATCGTTACCAAGGCCCGGCGAAAACGAGCAACACGGCCGCCCCTGACCGTTGAATGAAGCGGAGAGTCGCGCGTATACGACAGGGGGGCCCCGATATGAATGGCGAGCGTAGCGAAGACGTAACA